ACCCAGCATGGAGGATGACTCTTCCATGGCTGCGTCGATGGAGCCCCCTCTAGTCCTTTCCCACCTCTGTGCTCTAGGCCCTCCCCAAGGCCACAGGACATTGGCCAGATTACATACAACTGGTTGAGAAGAGTGTCTAGATACTCAAGTGAGAGGCTGTGGCTCTCCTTCCTCCTCCTTTTATGAGTTATGTTCAATAGTCATCAAGAGCAGCTATGATGATATGTTGCAAGTGGGTAAACTGATGTGACAAAGATAGTATCAGTTTCATGGAAGAATAGTCCTGTTCTCTGTCTGTCTCTGTCTCTGTCTCTCTGTCTGTCTGTCTCTCTCTCTTATTTTTTTTTACAACAAACTATTTCCTTTTGTCTAGTGAAGAGAAAATTAAGGAGAAATGGAAAGTTTAAGTTGTTTGATGTTCTGTACAATGGAATGAGCATGGAATACAATGTTGATGCTTAAACTAATTTTGGCTGGAACAAGCATGGCCCTAACTCTTTCCAGAGTATAATGCATTTAACAATATTGAATTTCTCTTTTATTTGCCTTGAGTATTTTTCTTTTGTCCAAAAACTCAAGCTTCAGACATTCGGGAGTCATGTTAGGGACAGAGCATTGTTGTGGGAGCTTCAGAAAATTAGCAGACTCTGTGTTTATGATTTATGCAAATGCTTATTCCAGCCACATATTAGAAAGTCTCCAAGTTAACCCCTCCCAAGGCACAATGAAACAAAATATGATTTTTCTTGCTTTTAAAATGTTGGCTTTGAGAGCTACTTTTTCAGCTAAGGATCACATTGTCATTTTTAAGAAGGAAAATAGATTAAAATAATAGTGTCAGTGATCCCCTCCACCACCAAGAAACAAAAGAGCAAATTGGTTGTTGAACTTTCCAAAATTTACAGATCTTTGTTGACTTGATTAGTGAATGAATGTCTTCAGAACTTAAAACTGCATTGACTCTATTTTCATGGTGAATGACTCAAAGTTAATGTAACTTAAGATGTTCCCTGGCATAATCTCTGGTGCCTCTGTATTAGATGCTTCCAGTTAGATTGTTCTTAATAGAGATTTGCAGTCAATGTAAAGACTGTGCCCTTAATGGATCATCTCTTACATCTGGTAGTTGCAAACAGTCAGTCAATTTGTTTGCATTATTACTGAGTTTATCCTACAGCCCATCAGGTTGTTCACTTAGGTTCAGCTGATAAGACAGACTGAATATGACATTACAAGAAAACCCTAGTTTCAAATCCATGGACAAAAGTAATGAATTATTACTTAGTTGTAAAAGCTTAGTTGTAAAAGCTTAGTTGTTTTTTTTTTTTAATATTTTTTTACTTTTAGTTTTCTGTGTATGTGTGTGTGCTTGAGGGTATGTATGTGCACTATGTGCATGCAGCATACATAGGGGCCAGAAGGGGCATTAGATCTCTTAGAACTGGACCAGGCAGTTGTGAGCCACCGTGTGGGTGCTAGGAATTGAACCCTGGTCCTCTAGCAAGATCAGTCAGTGTGCTTAACCACTAAGCCATCTTTCCAGCCTTGATAAATGTAGTGTTAATGCAAGAAGTTTCCTAAAGATGTCAAAGGATCTCGTGTGACTAGTTAACCAAGTTTTGAATATATTCGTGTACTGCAGCTAGAAATACTTCTGTCTGTGCTTCTGATGTTTAGGGGAGAGCTTTAGTCGTTAGGTGGATGGTAGCTGGTGAGAACCATTACTTGGTAGCAGCTTGATTTATTGCTGTTCTCTGTCCTTTGCACTTGGATTTATTATTGATAGTCATCATCACACAATCCCTGGTAAGGAGCTATAGCCCATTCTGAACTGTGTACATAAATATTCTTTGGCTGATTTCCAACTGTAATTGGTCTACGTGGCTGATTCGGTTTGAGACCTGCCTCAGTTGCGCAGTCTCTTGCCTGTAAGCTTTTAATGATGATTATACCTGCATAAGTACACCATCTTTCAGGGGCTGTAATCTTCCCAGAGCCTTGCCGCTTACTGGGTATCAGAAACTCCTGACGTGATTTCTTGTGTTTTTCTTTTGTTGTAGCTGTCTCAACTTCAACTGGCCACCGTGGAGGTTACCACATGGTCATCCTCAGCTGCTGCAGCTTAGCAACTGCATCCCACACAGCTGTGTTTATGAGTAATCACTTTAATGAAAGGAGATTGGCCAGTTAAGGAACTGACTGCCGGAGAGTTCTCAAAGGCAGGAAATGAGTGACATGTGTGAGCTCCAAGTGTCACCAACACCTGGAAAGCTGGGCACAGTCCTCTGGAGTGTGATATCTCACCGAGTCTACACTTTGCCAGTTTCTGTGAGGCGTCTTTGACACAGTAAGCCGCAGTATCTGTCAGCACACAATACTATGGCTTTAGCCCTATGAAATAGATAAAAGGTCCTGATTGTGGGTAAGGCTGCCAGACAGGATTCTCTGAAGTCAGGTCACTGGAGATATGCTTCTTCCAACAGATTTCATTCTACATGGAATCTTTCAGAAAACAGCAATCAGCAGAACTATTTGGGGGTATTCAATAATCTGAGTTCTCTTTATAATACTAGAGATCTCTTGGACTAGCATGATTTCTTACACTTGTGGAAGAATATTCTGTATGTTCTTATAATGAACAAGTTCATGTAGAATAGACTGCTTTAACTATTTCTAAAAGCATGTACTCTGATACTTAGGTTCATCTTTAGAAAGATGGGGAAAGAAGTGTGTGTGGGGGTGGGGGGAGTGAGCATGCAGACCATAGCCTACCTCTAGGGTTCAAGGTGCAGGCACCCGAGCCTGAATTGCACAAATGAAGATAACATTCAGTGAGCCAGAAAATGCTTGGTGCTTACTGTTGTGGCAAGCAGAGACCCACACAAGCAGCACTGAGCCAGGCAAGTCCGCCCAGGAGAAGCCGAGCCTAGTCGGCAGAGGAGGGGGTGGGGAGTTAGGATTCCAACCTTGGGAGGAGTGCTGGTAAGAGAAAATCTAGGATTAAAAGTCATTCTTAATTAAATATTACCTATTTAGCACAGGCCTCATACTGATGGGCAGTAGAACACTGTTATGCAAATGTGAATTCAGTCTCATTTTTCTAAGAAAGGAGACAGAGGAAAGACATCGTGGTCAGAAAGAACTTGGCCCTATTTTAATCTCATTATCTGGCACTGTAGTTTCATGTGTAAGCTGTCTTCAGGCGTTCCAGAAAGACTATTAATAGATACAGAAGCATACTTCTTTATAGTACTAAGTGTATAATCATAGCAGTAAAATTCGTTTTGGGTATTTATATTTGACATAATGTATCCATGTATGTTTAATTCACAGAGGGTTTACTGTCACTGATTCTTCTTGTTTTTAGTCTTATAGCAAAACCAAGTTTTAGCGCTGGCATTAACTGGATGTTTCTTTGTATAGCCATTCAAATGTCTTTCCTTAAGCCTTTTCAGTGGTTTGCAAATAACTTAATTTTTTGACCGTGCAACTCTCCAATTTTATCTGTTACTGTACTGCCTCTCCCCAGTAGATGAAAAAGTGTTTGACAAATCATCAAATAAATAAATGGACCAATAGTGAGCACATACTGAAAATATAATCAATTCCTGATAAATGAAGTTGATTGGGAATCATGGGTAGTAATATTGGCAATGGGAATTTACTGTTCTAGAAAATTTAATTTCTGAAATAAGTCAGCAACTGTTGATTGAGGTCATACAAACAGAGAAATTAAAGGGGAAAATGTCCAATACTTTTTAACCAATCAAATTGCTTTTTTCCAAGGAATTCTAGACATTGTCACAAGTTGTGACTTGCCAATTACATATTAGTTCTTAAAATACTTCCAAGGCCACAAAAATTGTCTCAAGGTAGCTTTGAAGAGGTAATGGCTGCTGTGTTGTGCAAACACTGTAATTCTAACACAGCAGGACATTCTAATGGGTATTTGTAAGAATACTATTAAATAGCTAAGCTGTTTAGTGACTCACGATTCCTGACCAAGTTTCATAATCTTCCCTTCCTAAAGTTTGCTCAAAGTTTTGATAGTTTATTGACTAAAAAGTTTTCTCATAAGCTTTGAATAAGCTAATGATGAGTTTCTGCTCAGGAGCAGTTTTCATGTTCAGGTATTGGATCACGTTGTATGCTTTGTCTAGGGATTACACAGTTGGGAAGTAGTTATTTTGAGCAGAGTATATTAAATTGCAACCACTGATTGATAAGCCATCTTACAAAGGAGCTTGAAATAATGAGGTCACTCTTTAGTTCAATAGATAATTTGTTGAGCACCCACCTGCCACCAACTTTTTAGGAAAAGCTATCCCATGCTCTGTATAGTCTAGCAAGAGAAGACAGACAACCAACTATTAGTTACCTAAGACGTTAGAAAGTGACAGAGGCTGTGACCGAAGAGTGAAGGATCTACAGGTGGTGTGGGAGGTGGGATGCTGTGTCAGAATGGGCCACAGTGTGATTTGAGAAGTCTTACAGCAGGTGAAAGATTGAGCCACTCTTGTGTACAAGACATTGACGATTATTGTAGAATTCTTTTAGAACAGTCCACACATGCCTACCTGATGATGTCATTGCTCTCATTAAAATTCTCCACTTCTGTGGCTTTAGTGGAGCACATGAACACCTTCATTTGTTCTGTGGTGGGTGATTGCCATGATCTCAGCCTCGGGGGCCATGTCTCCAGCCCCTTCCTCTTGATTACTCTGCTTCAGCCGTACTGGACTCAGTTCAATTCCATGAGCACTGACAGTTTGTCTCTTTTTTGTTTTGTTTTGTTGTTGATTTTTATATGTTGAGAGTACTTTTCTTTGCCTTCATTCTCCAGAGTTTTCACACCGGTTTCTCGATCAGCTTACCTCTCCACCACAGGACTCTGACAATCTCATTGTACGACCTAGTTCTTGCCCACTCCTCCCCACCCCCAATCATAAGTAATTAATGGTTTGCAAATGATTTATTCAGTTTTTCTTTTTTCCTGGTAGACTTTAAGCTCTGTGATAATGGCAATGTCGTTCAATATCAACGTTGTTCATTTCTACGTGCCTAATACTTGACACCTCCTACATACTCAATATCTGCTAGGTGAGTAAAGCCAGCTTCAAATGGGGCAAGCTGCAGGGCTATGAAGAGAGAATGTTTTTAATTAGGGTGGGAAAATAAAATTTAAAATGTTCTTTCTTTATAAACTTAATACTCTGTCGGGTTAAGTTGCCAAGGCTTAAAGTCCTTAAATGTTATTAGACAATTCAGAGTTTTCTAGGAAATGGAGGCAGAGCAGGGTTAGGCCTCCTAAGGAAAGGATTGTAGGCTGGGCAATGTGGCTATGAGGATTCTTCCCCACACATTCTGGTTTTCTTCCCTTCCAGGCATGTGGTAGGAATGTTCCTCTTCGCCTTTTTGAAGTTAGGTGTGGTCTGGTGATTGTGATCTGTGCACTTAGGGGAAGGCTTTAACTAGACAGTTAACACCTTTCTCTTCTCCAGTATCTGCAAGTGCTTCAAGGGCAGCTGATCTGTTAATGGGTTGGTAAGTGGAGACACTGAAACTTCTGAGTGTTTCATTTTTACAGAGTCATGTAACCATCCTGATTGAGACAGATACAGAAGGTTTTGAGGCACAAGTGCACAAAGAAAAACTTTCAAGTAAGCAACAATGAGATGTAAGTTTGACCTCATCATCTCCCCTCCAAAAGCTGTGTCTCCACAAGGCCACTGACTTGAAGAAAATCTGCTCTCTAGTGTAGAACTGTCCACCGTCCTGGGTCTGTCCTTTCCTCTTCCCCTCAGCAATCTCCCCCTCCCTGCTGCCTCCAGGACATTTCACCTGTCACTGTCTTATCTCCTATTCTTGGGCTTTTCCAAGTGCTCTCCTCCACAGCCTTGCAAGGACACTCCTGTGCCCACCTGCACCCAGATCCTGCCACCACACTAGTAGAGTAAACTCTGAGAGAACTCTGTTCACACACCTATTCAAAACCTCCAGGGACTCTCTTTAGCTAAGAGATTGAATGCAAATCCTCAGTGGAATGCATTCACTGGGCCATTTCAGACCCTTAGCCCCTGCCCTCCTGTCTTTACAAGCCTGGTGTCCAGCAGCCCTCCACAGCCCCATGCAGTACTCGTATATGGCTATCAGTGTTTTTCACAGTATGCCACAGCAGCCCCTCAGCAGCTCTATAGCAGCGAAACACAGAAGGCCATGGTGGTAACTGCTGGACCCTGAAAGTCCTTTTCATTCACAGCTGACCTAGTAAGAGTCAGGATACCACAGTTGCTATGGAAACAGCTAGGTATGTGTTTCTGCTCACAAATTGCCCTCCTTATCCTTAACAATATAAAAATCTGTGTGTTTTATTTGTATTAAACGTTTTTCCTATCTGCTATGTTTAAGAAACATATATTTAAGAACATGAATCACAAATTCCATTTCCTAGACTTTTTTTTGACCATTATATATTGTCTTCCTTATAGGACTGATTTCTATTGATTCTGAACAAAATAAAAATTGAAGATAAGCCGGGCGGTGGTGGCGCATGCCTTTAATCCCAGCACTCGGAAGGCAGAGGCAGGCGGATCTCTGTGAGTTCGAGGCCAGCCTGGACTACCAAGTGAGTTCCAGGAAAAGCGCAAAGCTACACAGAGAAACCCTGTCTCGAAAAACCAAAAAAAAAAAAAAAAAAAAAAATTGAAGATAAACTACTAGTTCAACATGTCCACACATTCAAGTCCTCTTTGGGTTATAATACTTTCAAATGTATTTATTTCTTTTTAAATATTTATTTTTACTTTACGTTTTGAGTGTTGCTTGTATTGTTGATCCTACCAGTGGAGAATAAGACCACTACCACAATTTAAAGCCAAATTTTTTTTCTTTTTTTTTTTTCGAGACAGGGTTTCTCTGTGTAGCTTTGCGCCTTTCCTGGAACTCACTTGGTAGCCCAGGCTGGCCTCGAACTCACAGAGATCCGCCTGCCTCTGCCTCCCGAGTGCTGGGATTAAAGGCGTGCGCCACCACCGCCCGGCCTACTCCTCACCTACATCCAATCAGGGGCAAATGTGCATCCTGATGTATTTCCTGCCCACATACCTCCCACCCACATGTGACCAAACACATCTGGTGCAGATGAGTCAAACAAACATGACAAACAGGAACTGATTATTAACTACAAACGGAACTCTTGACCTGCAAGGTATATTTTTCCTGTTTTGGTCTCACAGTATGTATGTGCACCATGTCTATGCAATCCCAATGGAAGTCAGAAGAGGGTAATAGATCCCCTGGAGCTTTAGTTACAGGTGGTTGTAAGACACCAAGTGAGGTGCTGAGAACTAAACCTGGGTCATCTGCAAGAGTGGCAAGTCCTCTTAACTGCTGAGTCATCTCCATCCTGTCTAGTATTCTTTTTTCTTTTATTTTCATTCTTCTCTCATGCATTATATCCTGACCAAAGTTTCCCTTCCCCCAGTCTCTCCTCCCCTGCCTCTCCCTTTCCCCAGACCCACCCTGCCTCTTTCTCCCTTTAGAAAAGATCAGGCCTCCCAAGGACATCAACCAAATACAGCCTACCAAACCTCAATAAGACCAGGCACATAACATCATCACATCAAGGCTGGGCAAGGCAACCCAGTAGGAGGAAAAGAGTCTCACAAGCAGTCAGAAGAGTCAGAGACAGCCCCCACTCCCACTGTTAGGAATCCCACAAGACACCAAACTACTCAGCCATAACATATAGACAGAGGACCTAGGTCAGACCCCTGCAGATTCCCTGATCTCTGCAAGTCCCCATGAGTCCTGGTCAGTTGGTTCTGTCAGTCTGTTCTTGTAGTTTCCCTGACCTCTCTGGTTCCTCTGATCTTTCTTCCTCCTCCTCTGCAGGACTCTCTGAGCTCTGCCGAGTGTTTGCCTGTGGGACTCTGCATCTGCTCCCCTCAGTTGCTGGATGAAGTCTCTCTGGTCTCCTTGATGATGATTCTGCTAAGCTCTGGCCCCAGAACACCATGCAGGCAGGACAAGCTGGAGGTTGAAGGTTTTAGGGCTAGATTGGTGTCCCAGTTTTCTTGAGACCTTGCCTAGTTACAGAAGATGACCAGTTCAGGCTCTGTGTCTCTCATTACTAGGATTCTTTGCTAGGGTTACTCTCATAAATTCCATGGAGTTTTCATTGCTCTAGGTTTCTGCCTCACCTGGAAATGCCTCCCAATTCTAGTTGTTTCTCCCAATATTTTCTCCCCACCCCCAAATCCCTCCTGTTCCCAACAGCACCTGTTCCAGTCCATTGGTGAAATCTATTTACCCTTCCCAGGGGAATCCTTGTGTCACCCCTTAAGCCCTCCTTATTACTTAGGCTTTCTGGGTCTGTGGACCATAGCATGGTTATCTTTTATTTTATAGCTAATACCCACTTCTAAGTGAGTACATACCATATTTATCTGTCTGGGTCTGCGTTACCTCACTTGGGATGAATTTTTCTAGTTCCATCCATTTGTCTGCAAATTTCACGATGTCATTGTTTTTAAAAAGCTGAATAATACTCCATTGTGTAAATGTACCACATTTTCTTTTTCTATTCTTTGGTTGAGGAACATCAAGGTTGTTTCGAGTTTCTGGTCGTTATGAATAAATCTGTTATGAACATAGTTGAACAAATGTTCTTGTGATAGGATGAAGCATCCTTTGGGTATATGCCCCAGAGTGGTATAGCTGGGTCTTGAGGTAGATCTATCCCCAATTTTCTGAGAAACTACCATATTCATTTCCAAAGTGGCTGTAGAAGTTTGCACTCCCACCAGCAGTGGAGAAGTGTTACCCTTGCTCTATATCCTTGATGGCTAAGGATGTTGAACATTTCTTTGTTTCTTGGACAATTGAGATTCCTCTGTTGAGAATTCTCTGTTTAGATCTCTACCCCATTTTTTAATTGGATTGCTTAGTTTGTTGGTGTCTAGTTTCTTGAGTTCTTTATATATTTTGTATATTATCCCCATGTCAAATGTGGAATTGGAGAAAATTCTTTCCCATTCTGTGGGTTGCAATTTTGTCCTATTGACAGTGTCTTTTGCCTTACAGAAGCTTTTCAGTTTCATGAGGTCCCATTTCTTAGTTGTCAGTCTTTGTACCTGTGCTATTGGTGCTCTCTTCAGGAAGTTGTCTCCTGTGCCAATGTGTTCAAGGCTATTCCCCACTTTCTCTTCTATTAGGTTCAGTGTATCTGATTTTATGTTGAGATCTTTGATCCACTTGGACTTAAATGTGGGCAAGGTGACAGATATGGATTTGTTTGCATTCTTCTACATAACAACATCCAATTAAACCAGCACCATTTGTTGAAGATACTTTTGTTTTTTTCCATTGTGTAATTTTGGCTTCTTTATCAAAAATCAGGTATGCGTAGACTTGTGGATTTATGTCTAGGTCTTCAATTTGATTCCATTGATCAATGTGTTTGTTTTTATGCCAATACCATGTAGTTTTTATTACTACAGCTCTGTAGTACAACTTGAATTCAGGGCTGGTGATACCTCCAGAAGTGTTTTGTTTTTGTTTTTTTTTTATTGTACAGGATTATTTTAGCTATCCTGGGTTTTTTGTTTTCCCATATGAAGTTGAGTATTGTCCTTTCAAGCTCTGTAAAGAATTGAGTTGGAATTTTGATGGGGATTGCATTGAATCTGTAGATTGCTTTTGGTAGGATGGTCATTTTTACAGTGTTAATCCTACTGATCCATGTGCATCAGAGACCTTTCCATCTTCTGATATAATCTTCAATGACTTGAAGTTTTTATCAGACAGGATTTTCACTTGCTTGGTTAGCGTTACTCCAAGATATTTTATATTGCTTGTGGCTATTGTGAAGGGTGTTGTTTCCCTGATTTATTTCTCAGCCTGTTTGGCATTTGTATATAGGAAGGAAGAGGTGAGTGACCCACCTACCAGCTGAACTGCCCCACTCCCTAGGTTTGTTTCCCAAAGACCCATTCCACCATCACTCTTCTGACTTCACTACCAGTCCCCTACTGTGCCCCTTCCCCTAACTTCATACTCTAGTACTTTTTTTAAAAGATAAAACCAACCAGCATCAATCA